TCTTCTCGGTCCCCACAGATGTCACTTCCTCCCCTGCCCTGCCCTCTTTGGTGATTGGCAGCTGCTAAGGTCTCCACAGCCTCCTGCAGAGGATGCCTCAGTCGCCCTGGTCACCCATTTCCAAAAGGGCTCTGCGAGACGCCTCCACTTTGCTGGGTGGCCTCCACTATTGCTAAGCCAGGTAGGGCTGTCAGGCTGCCAACATGGTGGGTGCTGGGCCAGCAGGAATCAGTCCTGGGTGTTGACAAGCCTTGTTGTGGGCAGGGCCTTCCTCCTCAAACAGGTTCTTGTCCTATGGGCTTGGTGATGAGCAGTTTTACAGACAGGATCTCCCTCTTTCCTCCTCATTTTCTCCCACTTGGTTCCTGCCATCTTTCTAGTCCTGAGCCATGAGCCCCTGAAGCGGGAAAACAGGCAGCTTCCACACCGAGAGCTACCCTATTTCCCTGAAAATAAGACAGTGTCTTATATTAACTTTTGCTCCCAAAGATGCGCTAAGTCTTATTTTCAGGGGATGTCTTATTTTTCCATGAAGAAGAATATGGTACACATTTATTGTTAAATGAAAATAAAGGAAATTTATTACCTGTATACAGTACGGTAGTACGGTAGTTGTCAACACAAACCAAACAAACTGAATCCTACAGTATCAAGAATTTACTCATTTATTCAATGACACTCATGTCATCATCTTCTAGAACATCATCATAACAATCCAATTCCTGAATTTCCTGGTGAATTTCTTGTGACTCCATTTCTTTCAGAATCAGTGGACCAAATCTCTCATGTTAGCCTAGGGGGGCCTTATTTTCGGGGGATGCCTTATATTTCACTCAGAAGGAAACCTGTAAGTAGGTCTTATTTTTGGGGAAACACAGTAGATATCACCAGGAACAGTCTCCCCATGACCACCCATGGCCAGTGCTTCAGACTTGGTGCTTATAAAAATAATCATAAATATTTTTTATGAAAAAAAAAATATGGTTCCTCTCTTTCTGGAAAAGGTGGGGTCATATTGCCACTTTCTATGACCTATAGTTCTTCAATTTTAAAAAGTTGGCATTGGTTTACTAATTTTCAACATTAAACAGAATGGTCTTTCTTATTCTGTCTTCACTCACATTGTTATCAACCTGCAGAACATCCCATTTTTTGGCTTTTAGCACAAAAAGAATAGCAAAATTTTTGTAAGAAATGGGAAGCAACCCACCACTCTGAATGCAAGAATCTGTTTTTTCCTCTTTTAGGAGATTGGCATGTGGGTTTATGGTTGTGAGTTTGGTATTCTGGATACGTATGTTAGTCAGAGTTTCCATTGCTGAGACAGATTTCAAGCCTCAGAGTTAAATATTTTTAAATCACACCCAGTATTTCTTAAAGAGCCCCACCATGTCCCAGGGCTTTCCCACCTGAACCACCAATCTACTAGGAACCTCGGTGCCCCAGCTCTGCCCAGGGCCCTCGCCAAGCATTTGGAAGTGGGGGTTTGTGGTTATGGCTGACTCTGGGACTCGGCTGTGTTGTTGACATTTAGGGCCTGGGAACGCAGTGCTTTGGACAGTCCTGCACCAAGAAGACATGTTCTTCCTAAAATGCCTAAAGCGGCACCACTGATGAAAGAAACCATAACGATCTCAGCAGGCAGGCCCCAGAGTGACAGGGAACGTAAGAGCAGAGATATTGAGAAATCCAAGCCTCCGTGGTTGAGGTCAGACACCAAGCCACCTGGCTGTGGGCAGGATTCCTGTCTTCAGGGAGGAGGCAGAGCCTGGAAAAGGTGACATGGGGCTCGGAGTTCACAGGGCCAGAGAAAAAGGCTCCAGATCCGGCATGGGGCAGTTCCCGCAGGACCCAGGCAGACAGGCTCCCTTCTGGATCCTATCCCAGCTCTGCCGCCTATGTGCTGTGCAGTGTCACTTCTCTGAGCCTCGATGTCCTCTTTAAGGGGCATCGTTAACCTCATAGGGAAGCTGTAAGGACCGATGTTTATCGGGGCAGCTGACACACTGTAAGTGTGTTGTGGAAGGCTGTTGTGATTATGCTTGTTATTAACAATCAGAGGGATCTAAATTGAGGAAAATGGGTGGGACGTTGGGACCATAGCCTTAAGAAAGCAGTGGTGCTGTTATCAGTTGGGATATCTGTTCCGTCTTGTCACAGCGCAGGGTGCTGCCAGAGACCTCGATTCCCGCCTGCAGCAGAGGAGGGCTAGTTCTTAGGATAGGTCAGATGTTGCAGCTGGGACTCCAGCAGGTCCTTCTGTGAGGAGAAGGAACATGGAGGATAACAGACATTGCCCGGAGGACCAGCAGCTTAGCTGGGGACCCAGGACTAACTACTATGACCAGTTAAAAGCAGTTGCATAGACAGTCTTATTTCAGTTATGCAAAGTAATACCTATGCTTGGTGTATATTAGGGGAGAACAAAAATCTGAAAGGACATAACCAAAATGTTAATGTGAAAATCTCTGGAAGATGAGGCCATGACTTTTTATTTTTTTAATTAGAAGAAAAAAAAAAGTTAGTTCTAACTGATATATGGCAGCATCTATTTCAGAGTGAAGAGTGCTGGAACCACACAGATGTGAGACATCCTGCTATAGAATCACGAGGGCAGGTCTCAGGAGGAGTTGGCATTGGGGGGAATTCCTGAAGGATAGGTAGGGCCTAGAATCAGTGGTTCTCAACCTTCCTGATGCTGCAACCCTTTAATACAATTCCTAGTATTGTGGTGACCCCCAGCCATAAAATTATTTTCATTGCTACTTTGTTATGAATCATAATGTAAATATCTGTGTTTTCCGATGGTCTTAGGGGACCCCTGTGAAAGGGTCGTTCGACCCCCAAAGGGGTCACTACCCACAGGTTGAGAACTGCTGGCTACATGGAGGGAAGAAGACATTCCAAAGAGAAATCCCAAACACGCGGGCAATCATGACATGTGTCCCAGTGGCTCTCACATGCACTCTTTGCCCTGCTTTGTGATTCTGGAGCTGGACACAGCCAACATTTCTCCTGTGCCAGCGGGCACAACTTCAGGCCTTGTCCTGCTCAGATATGTTCGGGGGATGGAGAAAGAACCTCGGTCAAGGGAGGGACTGCAAAGAGCAGACCCAGATTAGCCAGCGAAAACCTGGGCAAATCAGGCGGGGTCTTGGGCTCCAGGAAAACATGCCTCACTGCGCATTCCACAAACAAGCACATCTCACCTGCAAGATGGCTTTGTTTTCCTCAGCAGAACACTTAGAACTCACTTCTCCCTTCATTGGTAAATCTCCTTTACCCAATGATACTTAGAAACCAGAACAGAATGTCTCCTAGGGGAAGAAAGGCAGTTTGCAAAACCATGTTTGACAATCTATTGTTTACATACAACCCTTTAATCAAAGTAAAGTGAAGCACAGAACTGTAGGACACTGAAATTGGGACTCAAATGTTTTTTTGTTATTATATGTTTATTTCTAGTCTGTGGCTGCAAGATTTTTCAAAGAAAAGAAATGGGGAAAAATAGTTATAGAGATAAAGAACCATTGAACAGACTGTCAAACTATAGCAGGAAGAATAGGGAGGTTGTGTGTGTGTGTGGGGGGGTGTTGTAAGAGATCAACTGCAGGACTTGTATGTACTATTTGCAATCCTTCAAACAATTAAAAAAAAAAGTAAAGTGGGACAGAATTTTCTTGTGGGGGTCAGCAGAGAGGGAGATGGCTCAAGGTAAAGTTCATTTACGGACTGAGCGATGGGTGGGAAAGCTGCTCGGCCTGGCCAAAGGTCGCTCAGGGACTGCCCGACACAACCTGCAAAGCCTCCCAAGTATTTTGCCTTCTGGCCTGCTCATTCCTTCCTTCCTCTGACGGTGGCGTGCCCCTTCCTGGCAGGCACTGACTTCTCGTGATGCTGCGCACGCCACACTCTTCATACCTTTCCACCTTTTCCCACGGCATTGCCACAGCCCGGAGCGGCCTTTTCCATTTCTCAATGCCTTGACAAAGATCTATCTGCCTTTGAAAGGACTGCCCAGGGATCATTTTTGTTAAACAAGTTTCCTCCGATTCTCTTCTCTCCCAATGAATAATTTCTCCTTCTATGCTTCTTCTAGGCTGCCCTCATTCTGTGCATCAAGTTACCTTGGGCTCATTTCGTGTCTTTTTTCATCTTTTCCCTAGACTGAACTTTTTTTATAAAAAAATATTTTTCAATTATAGTTTATATCCAATATGACATTATTATTCCAGGTGTCCAGCACAGGGGTCAGACGGTCACACTTCACAAATTGTTCCCCCAGCAGTCCCAGGACCCACGGGGTAGACTGAGCTTCTTAACAGCTGTGACTCTCACTGTGTCTCCAGCGCCTCGCAGACTGCCTGGAACACAGCAGATGAACTCAACTGATTTTGGGCTGCTGCCCAGACTGCTGAGGACATGTCTAGAAGGGAGAATTATGTTATTTTGGGAGATTGGGACATTTAGTATTGGGGCATCATTGTTAGTGGTTCAGTTGACGTTTTGGTGTTTTGTGTTTAGGAGCTGTTGGCTACTCAAATCTAAATTCCAATAAATTCCCTCAGTGCAATGTCTGCTTCCTCTCTCTCTCTCTCTCTCTCTCTCTCTCTCTCTCTCTCTCTCTCTCTCTCTCTCTCTCTCTCTCTCATGCACACATACACAGATAGGTGTCGATGGTGGGAGAATTAGAATTTACCATCAATTCTGCCGGGGGCCCAAGCTATGACATTACTAGAGGAAACCATCTGTGCCTCCTCTAGGGGTTCTCATACGAGAGCCCTCTAACAAAAATTTTGTTACAGGGCCCTTGTACTATAAAGGAGGGGAAAGTTCAGAGGCACATCATAAAATATTCATCACATTGCTCGCATTCTGCAGAGAATTGAGCTGGGTAAGTGGCTCCCTGCTCGCTCTTACCTACCCTGAGCTGGGAGCATCTAGATTTTGATTGGACTATTGCCAGAGCTCATTAGCATAGTGTACCTTGACCTGGGTTAGGGAACAGCAGCTTCTGCCTTGAAAATGAGCAGAGCCTGCTTGGACCTGAACCAGGGATGAGATTTTTATAACACAGTATTGTCTGCATCTCCATACGAAGTCAAAAGGTAAGGAAGCCAGAAATCCCAAGAAAATGCACATGTAAGGGATGCGGTAATGGCCACCCCATTATTACAGGGTTCCATTTTTCTAGTTGGTTTTTGGTAGAAATGATGAAAATTGAATACACTTTGGCCCGAGTTGCTTTAAAAAGAGAAAGTCTTGACATATTTAGACTTTTTAATCCTGGAGAAAAGCTCAATTTGTTTATGTCTTAAGGGCTGCAAACAGTCTTTTCTTCTTTTCTATGATTCGCTCTTATCCTTCAGTGAAATATTAAATTAATGTTCATTTATTTGGCAAAAATTTATATCAGAAAAAAAATTTTTTTTAAACAATCTAGATGTTCTGTAGCAAGATATTTGATTTCCCTCTCCTTAATTTCAAAACAAAAGAATCATGTCTATAATAACTAGGCTTATAACAATGTTTTTCATTTGGGGAAATGTGAATCTTGTTATTCATCTGTTTTGTCTTTTAGAAAAAAAAAAATCAATCTTTCCCAATTAGCGATAACAAATTTTAGACCATTTGAATCACTGTTTTAACATTCAAAAAGGTAAGTACATAAATCTGTCACTATCATTTTCACTTGATATTTGTGTCTAATACACTTGTTGCTAAAGTCTTCTAAATTAAAGTCAATCTGTGTCATCATTTCTTAATTAACTCAATGTTTATTTTCCAAACATAGAATTTGATTTGAAACTCCCAGGGATTTCATTTTGCATGCCAGTGTTTGAAATGGGAAGTGGGGACTTCATGCTCTTTGAGTCTGTGAGCACTGAGTGATTGGCAAGTGTGGGTAGACAGGGTCGGGAGGTCTCTTGTTATCTAATGTCCAGGTCCACAGTCTTCTGTATCCCTACACTTGGATACTTGTCCGTGATTGACAAGTGTTAGGGTTATATAAAGTCACATAATTAAGGAACAAAACTCATGGGACCATTAATCAGCTTGTGGTTTGAGTTTGCGATTGAAGAGTTCTGCATAACACCATCACGTCCCTTTTTACAAGAACACCAGCAAATGATAACGATCCGGATCTATGGCTGGGGCTTTGTGCACGCAGAGGGCCGACTTAAGTTGCACTCAGATTTCCCACTACGTGCCGTGTTGGCACCCCTAACCTCCACATTGTTCAAGGGTCAACTGTCCACGCAAACATGTTTCCCTTCGTATTCGACTGACAAGCGCATTTTACCTGCAAAGCAATTCGGTTTTCCTCAGTAGAACACTTCGAGCTAACTTTTTTTTCCTTCTTTATCTGTAAGTCTCCTTTAATAGATTATAATTAGAAACTAGAATGGTATTCTTCATGGGGAAGAAATGCAGTTTGCACAAAAATTTTTGAGTATCGATTGCTTCCATAAAGCAATCACAGCAAGGTGAGACAGAATTTTCTTGTGGGCAACAGGAAAGAGTGAGATGGCTGACGGTGAAGTCACAAAGTCCCGGAGACTGCTCCGAGTGAGACGATAAGAAACACGATGATAGAGCAGTTATCATACGATCCCCCCAGGGCACGTTAGGCAATGTCTCTGGACATTTTTTCCTTGTCACAACAAAGAAGGGTGGTTTGCGACTAGCACCTAATGGGCAGAGACCAAGGATGCTGCCAAACAGCCTACAGTGCACAGATAAGCCCGCACAACAAAGAGTTATGAGGTCTGACATGTCAGCAACACCGAGGCTTCACAGGAATCTCATAAGAGCCTGTCATTTGATCCTATTGAAGATGTAAAGTGCACACTGGGTTTCTGGAGGAGACCAGCATTAACCTCTGTAGCTATTTAGCTTCAAAAAATACTATAGAGACACGGCTGGTTGTGATGTTCCCCTCCTGGAATTTCATCCACTCATGAGCTAATGGATGAAGGCATTTTCGTGGAAACAACTCCTAGCCAGCCCTCTCCTTCAAACACAGGCATCTTTAGGAGGAAAAGACCCTAACCATTGGCTACAGGTGACAGCCATTCCTGCTACAGCCTTTGCAAGCTGGGACTAGCAAAGACCCAGGGGTTGCCGAAACCGGTTTGGTTCAGTGGATAGAGCGTCAGCCTGCGGACTGAAGGGTCCCAGGTTCAATTCCAGTCAAGGGCATGTGCCTTGGTTGCGGGCACATCCCCAGTAGGGGGTGTGCAAGAGGCAGCTGATAGATGATTCTCCCTCATTGATGTTTCTAACTCTCTGCCCCTCTCTCTTCCTCTCTGTAAAAAATCAATAAAATAAAAAATAAAAAAGACCCAGGAATTAGTGCATAATCACCACGTTTCTGATTCCCGTAGGCCAAGCTTTTTTTTTTTTTTTTTTTTTTTTTAAATATATTTCACTGATTTTTTTACAGAGAGGAAGGAAGAGGGATAGAGAGTTAGAAACATCAATGAGAGAGAAACATCAATCAGCTGCCTCCCCCACATTCCCCACGGGGGATATGCCCACAACCAAGGTATGTGCCCTTGATTAGAATCAAACCCAGGACCCTTGAGTCCACAGGCCAACACTCTATCCACTGAGCCAAACCGGCTAGGGCAGGCCAAGCTTTATTTCAGCAATATCTCTTACTAGCTTCTACTTTTTATTTTTATCCGTATATTAGTGATTGCAAACATGTCAATAAAACAGGTTTTTCAGGTTGACAAGCACTGATTTATATCTCTTTAATGGTCAATATTATTATCATTTTTATTTTATTTTTTTTAGCATCAGAAATTAGTCTTTTGGTCTAAACTGCTTGAGTGGACTGATCCAAACATATTCCGAGCAAAATCCTGAAGCACTGCTGAGGGGAGTTACAGTCACAGACATCGGTGGCTGGCCTGACTTTACCATGGAACCTGAGGATTTTGAGTCTGAGGACAAAGACATATTAAACTGGGATATCAATGATGTGAAACTGCCACAGGTATGTACTGGCTGTAAGAACCTGCCTTCAGTACAGGGTGGGGTGGGGCAAAAATAGGATTACAGTTGCTTGTGTGGAAAATTATGCAGTAATTAATAACTAATACAAGAATAAAGTCTGTGTTTCCTGTATGCACAACTGTAAACCTACTTTTGCCCCACTCTGCATTTGGCTACGCGGCCTTGACTATTAGCTTGCTAAGACTTGGAAGGAAATCGGTGGATCCAACTGGGTCAACTCCTCTCCTCCGGAGCTTCAGCTAGAAGTCAGGAATTTTAAAAGAAGATGCCAAAACCTATGATTCGAATGGATCTTTACTTAGCAATCCCCCAACCCACATCTTCTCCCCCACATCCTCTTATAGACTGAGGCAAAGAAAATGCTGCTTCCCTTCTCATTCAATAGATGGGTTGCACCCATCCTGGCTAGCTAGAGGAATAAAATCCATGCAATGTGTTTGCCCATAGGTAGACTCTTCATAATGCACACACCCCCACACAGCCTCATTTGCTATAGTGATGGTTTGATATAAAATCTGTAACTGTTATGTCCAAATCCGAGGGGGATACGGCATGCTCTTCTAGGACTTTTGTAAATAAGACACACACAGGGGCCACTTTCCAGCTATAGAATGACTTTGATTGTGTGTTTCCTTGGCCTTCATTTTTACTCTTAATTTGGTGGAAAGCATCGATTAAAACGGGTCTCCTGACCTCCCTCTCTGCTAGTTGAAGGGTGCTTCACTACGAGTCGATTGGAAAGGTGACTGGGAAAGCTAAGACAGAGACCAGCACTGCCAAGTACTGAAAAGGTCAAGCTGGTCTACCTGATTCTGGGGAACAAGAAATTTGAATTATCCAAGCAGCGGAGAGGAAAGGGAGATTCCACAGTCCTGATTTATAACCATTCCAGATTTTCACTCTAGTGAAGACTTCCAGATCTTTCCAAATTTTACACTAATTTTCTTTTGTTTCTCTTTATGTTTTTTTAAAATATATTTTATTGATTTTTTACAGAGAGGAAGAGAGAGGAATAAAGAGTTAGAAACATCGATGAGAGAGAATCATTGATCAGCTGCCTCTTGCACACTCCCCACTGAGGATGTGCTCCCAACCAAGGTACATGCCTTTGACTGGAATCGGACCTGGGACCCTCCAGTCCGCAGGCCGAGGCTCTATCCACTGAGCCAAACCGGTTTTGGCTGTTTCTCTTTATGTTTAAATATTTTTTTTAAATTTTATTTTGTTTATATTTAAATTCCTCCCTACATTCTCTCTTGGTAGGTCTTGGAAAAGTGGAGGATATTAACTGCCCTACTTTTCATTCATTTAAGAATGATTAAATAAACCACAGCTAACTCATAACATCTACGTTAGGGATTTCTTTTAATAGTCGTCATTGGTTTACAATTACTGCAGCCATATTAGGGGAAACTTTCAGATACATTTTAATTACTTCTGGCTCAAGAATCTATATTTCTGCCTATTCCTAATTTTATGATTGCAACTCCCAAACATAAGCCAGGCATCCTCAAAATCAAGAGCTGAAGTGCGCAGGACCATAGATGATTCTGCAGTGTCACATCCCAGAGCAGGCGTTTTCACGGGGTCTGAGAATCCCTGAAGTGACAGGCAGCGAGCACTGTATACTAACATCCATTGTTTTCTGGACGAGGATCCATATCACCCATCAGATCTGTAGACAAAAGAAAGAACTACCTCCCTGGAGAGAGTCTCAGGGCTCGTTAAAGTACATGTCCCAACACGAATTCTCAACATAAAAGCATTCTCAGCTACCTGAGACATTGAACTGAAAAATTTACCGCAAAAATACACATTCAGTTTTGGAAATGTGCCATTTGCAGTTCATAGAAAACGTTTGATTTCTCATGGAAATAACTATTCCATTTACTAAACCCGCCACAGAAAGCATTAAGAGTATAAAGATCCCTTAACGTTTTCTAAGCAGAGACAACAGCATCCTCAGCTGGGTTTTTGCTGGCTCTGGAACTGTATCAAGAACCAGTTGAGATGAAAATAAGAGGTCTTGGAAGGATTTCCAAGCACACTGGGTTTTATGTTTTGTGAGCAAATCTGGAGGCTGAATGGTGAACTGTGAGAAGTAGGACACAAAGCCCTGGCATTGGATTCCAGTTCTGCTCTTTTTATTTGTAGAGCCTCGGGGAGTTGTTTACCTTTTCCCAGATTCCCTTTCTTCTGAAAATGAGGTGGTTGCACTAAATGGTCCCTATGTACCCTTTTAGATCTAATAGTATAGATGGCATGACCTGGGATTTGGGAGGTGGCCTGCATTCTAGACCTGCTAGCCCAGGCCTACCACGATGCCTGGTACGTATTAAACAACAAACGACAAACATGGAATTTATCAACGGACGACTTCATTGTTTATAATCTGTGTGACTCTAAACAAGTCGATTTCCTGAAGTCTTAGTTACCTCCTGGGTTAAATGAAAACCAATTCCTATATACCCTGCCCCTAAATCTCTAAGCTGTTCAAAGCAGTGTTTCCCAAAATGTGTTCAATAGAGTATAAGTTACAAGGGATTTGTTGTTGTTGTTAATCCCCACCCAAGGATATTTTTCCATTGATTTTTAGAGAATAGAAAGGAGGGGTGGGGGAGAGGGAAAGAGAGAGAGAGAAACATCAGTGTGAGATGCATCAATTAGTTGCCTTCCTGCACTTCTGACCGAGACACATGCCCTTGACCGGAATCGAACCTGGGACCCTTCAGTCCACAGGCCATTGCTCTATCCACTGAGCCAAACCAGCCAGGACAAGTTGCAAGGAATTTTAATGGTTGTTGTGAGTAAAGAAAAAGAGAAATTATAGGTTTAGCGAACTTAAAGATTTTTTTATAGCTGACTCGGAGCCTTTCTAACCTCCCTGTGCACAGGTGGCTCTCCCAGGAGGAAGCCCTGTTAGGCAGTGTTGCCTTCACCTATTTTTTAAAATATATTTTTATTGATGATTTCAGAGAGGGAAGGAGAGGGAGAGAGAAAGAAACATCAGTGATGAGAGGGAATCATTGGCTGCCTTTTGCACGCCCCCTTCTGGAGATGGGGCCACAACTCGAGCATGTGCTCTTGACTGGAATCAAACCCGGGACCCTTCAGTCCACAGGCTGATCTCTATCCACTGAGCCAAACTGGTTAGGGCTATTTTTAAAAATATATATTTTATTGATTTTTCACAGAGAGGAAGGCAGAGGAATAGAGAGCTAGAAACAGCGATGAGAGAGAAACACTGACCAGCTGCCTCCTGCACACACCCCCACCAGGGATGTGCCCACAACCAATGTACATGCCCTTGACCAGAATCGAACCTGGGACCTTTCAGTCCACAGACCGACACTCAATCCACTCAGCCAAACCAGTTTCAGCTGGTTAGGGCTATTTTTGTCCATGGAGACTCTTTTTCATGGAGTTTCTCAGGTGGTTACTCTTCCTCAGACCACCTGTTCGGAAGTTTTTTTTAAAAAGTTATTTATAGGATCAAAAGTAATGGTTTATTATTATTATAAATTTCCCCACTTTCATTCTCTATACCACCCATACAAAGAATTTCTACTTTATTTTTTATGATTTTATATTCTTACCAGAGTTAGTACTTCTGGGCAAATTCCTGTAACTTGTAAAACAAATTCCTTTCCTGTTAATCCACTCACGTGCTTCAACTTTCATGGTGGTCACCTGAGTAAATCCTGACAGTAGCTGAGATACGTAAAGGAATACTGGTACTCAGTATTCCTTTACGTATCTCAGCTATATTGAGATTTATGGGTTCACTTTTGACAACAGCTACCAGGACATCAGACATTTTTAAGTGACTTAGACTGTGCCAGACACTATAGCAGGCTCAGGGCCACAGGGGTCATTGAGCTGTGATCTGAACTAAGGGAACACGATTTAGTGCCCAAGTAGAGAATCAAAGCCATGTCGAAAAATGCTTGAGGTGGTTGAAAGAGAAAGTATGTGATTCAGCAGAACTTGGTCATGGAAAGCAAGGCAGGGCACCTGTAAAGGGCTTGGCATTGTAAAACGTGGGTGGTTTAGGCTAAGTGAAGAAAGCAATCAAGACAAGAAAGGCATGGATGCATAGAAGAGACTGACACATCTCAGAGGGGAAGGGGTGATAAGGACAGGGAGAGACTGACCAAATCTGCATTTGAGGGAGCTTATGCATGGTGCCCAGCAAGGAGATTTGGGGGGCTGGGGACTGGAAAGGTGGTTTGGAACAGGCTATCGAAGAAGACTAGGTTATTTTACAGGCAGTGGGGAGCAACGCCAATAGATTTGGACTTAGAGAAACTACTTGTCCTCAGTATATCATCCCTCCCCAATTTCTCCCTTCTTTCAATTGTATATGTATCTTTTAAAAAAAATATGTATTTTATTTACTTCTTTACAGAGAAGAAGGGAGAGGGATAGAAAGTTAGAAACATCTATCAGCTGCCTCCTGCACACTCCCTATTGGGGATGTGCCCACAACCAAGGTACCTGCCCTTGGCTGGAATCGAACCTGGGACCCTTGAGTCCACAGGCTGACGCTCTATCCACTGAGCCAAACCGGTTAGGGCTTTATATATGTCTTAACAAACCTTCATTTACTCTTGTGTCTGGTCACTCCTCTAACTTGTGATTTTTTTTTTTAATTTTTTTTTTAGCTTGTGATTATTTTGATACCATCTCTCTTTAACCTACTCCACAGGGAGCCAGCCCAGAAGGTCAGGCTTAAATTACTCAAAACCATCATAAAAGTCTGTTTTTCCAGGCCAATCTAATACACCCACCAATTTTGCATTTTAAAGGTTCAAAAAAGAATTGCTGTAGGCTTTTCTTGGTGCAGGCAGCAAATCTTCGGTCTTGGTTTAGCTTTACTTCATTAAAAAATGTTCATCACATGGTCCCTGAGAGTATCACATGCTCATTAGTACTGATTGTAATACTTGAGAGCCTTGAATCCCTAAGAAATTCCCCCAC